GTATGCTGGGAGGGCGTTGTCGTAGATCCTGTTTAGCTCCTTGGCTGCGTCGTACGCGACGTGGTGCATGAGTAGACGTATCTCAATGAGGAAATCTTTGAACAGTTCCCCCGCGACTTGCTTGCGGGCTCGGATCTGGTCTTCCAATTGTTCAAAATACCGTGGGGGCAAGAAGAACGTTAAGAATTCCTGGCGGAAATTTTCCCATCAGGAACTTTGTAGGCGGCTGGTGCGGAACCAACGACTGGCACGGTCTGTGAGAAGTTTGGCCATGGCCCGCGGCAGCTGGTTTGTGTCCACCCCATACGAGGGAGCGCGTTCTTCGAGTAGTTCAATGAATGATAGAGGGTCATCTTGGCCGTCAAACTGGATTCCCCATTTTCGGATGCGTTCCGCCATTGGTGCAGCGTGGTTGTAGTGGTGCCCTTTCATGGGTCGGTCTTCGGCGAGGACTTCTAGTTCGTCCCGACGGAGTTTGTGGATTCAGCCAGTGCTCACCCCTGGATTGGAAAAGTGTCCCGCGGGGTATGCCTCCTCTGGTTGTTCCTCGTCGTGATTTTCCATGGTGGGTTTTCTGTTGATTTTGGCACTGAGTTACTGTTAAACGGCACTTTTAGGATCGGCACTGCATATACTTTCGCGATTGTTTTCGCGCCCGAACTACGTTAGTGAATTATTGTTGAGTTAAGCTTGTCCATTCAATTTTCCTTTTGCTGGCAGTGGGTCTTTAATCCACGAAGTCCCTGATCTCGGTTTTCTTGAAATTTTCCTTCAAAATCCTTTAAAGCCCCTGCTCGAGCGCCACTTGTAAGGACCTATCTCAGGCTGGGATAGGCATCAGTCTGTCCAGGGTCCTGAATTACAAGCTATTTATAATTCGCAATACTTTATTTGGAAAACCAGGAACTCGGTCAGCAACTGAAATATAATGGTTAGCGGAATCACAACACTTTTGGTTTAAGTTGAAGTTTTAATTTGTTTCTTTATTAATTCGGGTTCTTATGTTACGTGTTATGTTATGTGGGGGGTTTGACGGATTGTCCGCGACGTGTATATTCTCCCGATCGACCTCCGATCGACTATGGCTGATGGACTGCCTATCGACTCGAAAGCGAACACGAAAGTTAACTGCCGATTTGCGAACTGCTGGCGAACTCCAAGTGAACTCCTAGCGAACACCAAACGAACTGCCTTAGTACAGGGAGAACTCAGATATATATAGCGTTTTCCTATTCTTAATACGGCCAGTGCTGCTATGTAAGGGACATTGCTCCGAGCTGGACTCGGGTTTCGCTTTAAGGGTTGATCGGCACTTTTCCATGCTATTGGTTGTATTTTGCTGCGTGGGGTGATCGCATTTCCTTGACGTTCGATGGCACGTGTGCTGAGTCTTCGGTTTTCCTGTCTGCTGGCCGCGCGGGTGCTGAGGTTGGTAGTTATTTTTCTTTATTTTGTCTCTTGCTGTTCCCATTTTCGTGGATTTTGGGGGCTCGTGTGCTTTGAGAACTTTGGTTACTTGGTTTTGCTGTGGTGAGGGTTGGTTATATAATCTTGGCCGTGCCTTTCCGTCGATTGGCTGCGCGTGTGCTGAGTTCTCGGTTTTCTTTCTTTCCTCGGTCGACGTCCCTCCGTCTTTCCACCTGTGCTGTATCTTCGAATTCGTTGGTGTTGGTATCTTCACTTGGGGGTAGCGTTGGTTACACCGACTGCTTGTGACGAACCATGGGATGGGAACCATGGTTCGTTACAATATAAAGCTTTTAATTGCAAAAATGATGATTTTTGTGCGGTATTTTTTACGAAATTTTGACTTTAAAAACTGAGGAACTGTCGAAAAAAAATTTCCGTATCATTCTGTTGCGATATTATGAACTAAATTTATTGAACGAGAACTAATTTACCCTATCGACGTATAATTTCATTTACTTTTATATGAAGACCTAAACAAAAGTTCCCTTTTTCTGTATTTTTGGTATTTTTTTGTTGGTTATAGCCATGTTTTCTATTACTATTATCTCTTATAAAAAATATGATTCTTGAGAAAAGTTTTTCCACAAAATATGTTAGATATTCAATACTAGAAAAATATTTCGATCTCGACTAACGGTATATTTTTGACTGTTATTAACTTATGGTTTGGTACATGGTACACATGGGACCCGACGACTGGGGATCAGAATGAACACTGTTATTAACTTATGGTTTGGTACATGGTACATGGTACACATGGGACCCGACGACTGGAAAAAAAGTTGTGATCAGAATGAACACCTAAACATATACACGGATGGCTCCAAGATGGATGGAGGAGTAGGTGCGGGCATATACTGTACAGAACCTGAAATAAGGCTGTCCTATGAGCTACCGGACCAATGCAGCATATTCCAGGCAGAAGTCTTTGCCATACAAAAAGCGGCGGAGGTTGCTCGATGTACGGAATGCCCACATAATGTGGTCAACCTGTTCGTGGACAGCCAGGCGGCGATAAGATCCATGTAGTCGTCAGCGGTCAGTTCCAAAAATGTCCAGGCAAGCAGGGAGGTATTAGATTTCCTAAGCACGACAAAGTCAGTGCGGATATATTGGGTTCCCAGCCACAAGGGCATCGAAGGCAACGAGACAGCAGTCGTGCTGGCTAAGGAAAGCGATCTAGAGAGGCGGGCACACATACAGGCCAGTAGCAGGTGGAGGAGAACCACCAACTGCAGGATCGCGAAAACCATGTGCAAGGAGAGCAATGGTAAACTCAACCACTACCTACTGCACCTACCACGGAAGGACAGTAGGATGCTAATACTCACAGGTCATTGCCTGGCTGCAGCACATGCAGTCAAACTAGGCATCACCAACAGTGGCAAGTGCAGGAAATGTGATGAATCTGGGGCTATCAAAACCTTGGAACATCTAATCTGCCAATGCCCGGCCCTCTCAAGGGCAAGAAACAAATATCTTGGTACTGGCATCGGTACTGGCATCGCTGGAAGATGCATCCAAGAGGACGCCAGCGGAACTCCTTGCCTTTGCAAAATTCTCCTCGATCCTCACGGATTTCGAAACCGCGTAAAACACTCAGAAGGTCCATACGCACCAATCAAGACAACTAAGGGCCATATTGGCCTATGCGTGGCCCCGTGAGGGCCGTCCGGGACAACCTAACCTAACCTAACTTATGGTTTAAATTCAATCTAAAAAAATCTACAAAATAATCTAAATAATATTTCCCTAAAATAATAACGATTTTAAAGAGACATCAATGCACAACCTGAGAAAAAATTTGCATCATAATATGGCCCAGACTAAAATGTAAGATCTGTTAAAGGTGAAATTCCCAAGGTGAAAGAATAGTATCAGATCAAGGTTCAGGCCCATCCTAATAGATACAGCTGACCGGAGAAGAACTTAGTTTTTTGTATGGGTGGAAGTAGAATGGGAAGATTTGAATGGAGCATGGGTCTGATTTTGATTATTTGTAGTTACGGGGGTTCTGGGTTACGGGGATTCTGGCTACAAGCTTTGAGAGGTGATGAATTCGGCTCCCAAATCTGCATCAACAGCAGCTGTTGCTGCCCCAGGAGTAGCAAACAGCTGCTGCACATTAGGAGTGGTCGAAGTCGGTTTTTCAGCAGCGAGCTAAAGTGACTCATTCAGCAGTTTCAAACCGCATAAATGAGACTCCATGGTGAGTCGATCGTACTGCTTTTTTAAGCCCACGGTCAGCTCCTTAAAGCCCTTTCGCCTTATGAACATTCTCATGTCGTTCTCAACCGCCCGGCATGCCTAATAACTGTAATTCAGACCATTACGTCTTGGAACAGCATCACCCGCAAATCCAGTGCATTTTGCTTGAACTACGTTGTCGCAGAGCCAGCAATGGATGCTCGGCTGGTCAGGGATTATCTAGTTCTTGCAGGTTATGGAACGTTTTAGCTTCTGTGGACGTACTCAGTCAGTATATAAATTTGTGAGCTTATAATATATCAAAAATTTTAAATTATTATATATTTGACTTTTTTTTCCTACATCTGTCGTCTACATCTACAATGTAGATTCAACATATTCTCCTCGATCGGTCGCGCACTGCACAGGGTAGAGTGTGTCTGAGCGATAAAGAGAATAAGAAGCGTTTGCTGCGCCGGAGGAGGTGGGGGAAGAAACTGCAAATACATTTTTTCATTCTGGCTATAATAATGATCCGATCCGATCTCTACATGCTGCGTTTTTAGTTTTCTTGTATCTTCAAAATTGTGGATGCCACAGTGCCGTTCTTTGTGAAAGCGGTAGGGGAGTGGAAAAATGTGGAAACAAACTTTATTCAGTGTGATATCACATGAGTGTGGAAACAAAATTTGGTTGCTCTAGCTCTTATAGTCTCTGAGGACTAGGCGTCAAACAAGACAGACGGACGGACGACAGACAGGCATGACTATATCGACTCGGCTATTGATGCTGATCAAGAATATGTACTTTATGGGGCCGGAAACGTTTCCTTCTCTGCGTTACACGCATCCACTTTTACAACAAATATAATAATAAAAATATAATAACCCCTTAACTCTTCGAGTGCGGGTATAAAAAGAACGATAGAATGAATGTAACAACTGTAACACTGTGATATCACAGGAATCTGGATAAAAAATTGCCCCAGCTCTTTTTGTCTCTGAGATCAAGGACGGATAGACTGAGGTAGCTAAATCGATGCTGATGATGCTGATCGAGAATATATTTACATTATTGTATCGGAAATGGTTCCTTCTAAAAACGCCCCACATTTTTAGAGTACCAAAAATTTCTTGGCGCTTAGAAGCGCCAACAGAAGACGACAGTCGAAAACAAAAACATACAAACAGTCTTTTACACTCGTCATAAAGGGTCAAACGAAAAAGCGTTGTTCTAGTTTTTGGTAAAATCTTCAAAATACTCAAAAATCCAAAATTTGTCATCTCAAACAATCATTAAATTTAGAATAATTGTAAGTAATTTTTTTCTTTTTTAAATTACAGCTTAACTGCAAATGGCCCATTTGGTGGAAGTTGTCAAGTTCACGGCCCGCTACCAACACTTACTAATTGTAGCTCTGACGATTTGGCAGCTGTTCCCGACTTGGATATTGGTTCTTCCGGGATGAAAAGTCCAATATTAGACAACCCTGCATTTTCACACTCCAAATGTCCACCTAGAATCCACAAGAGCTGTTTCTGTGTTCGTTTTATAGCGGAGCATACCAAAATGCAAGAGGACTCAACAAAAGTATGCTAAAAAAACGTGTAATACATTTTTCACTTTAATTTTTGTACAAAAAAAGGTAAAGGAAGATTGGAAGTACGTCGCAATGGTATTGGATAGACTTTTTCTGTGGATATTTACGTTAGCAGTTCTGGTCGGAACAGCTGGGATCATATTGCAAGCACCCACATTGTACGATGACCGGATTCCTATCATTGAACAAAAAGACTTGGACTTTTCTGGAACATCAGCTGGACGCTGTAGACCTCCACAATAACATTTAAAAAAAAACCAACGAATGTTTACAAACTGAAAATGATTCAGATTATTGAATCTGTTGATAGTTTTCAATATTTTCATAAGTTTTGCGTATTTTTGTGAAAGCAGAATATATATTGTCAAGAATATGTATACATTGGCATTAATTAATACTCTTATTTATTTTAGATGATTTTTATTCCAATTACGACCGATAAAACTATGCTTTTGCCAATTCAATACTGCAATGTCTATCTTCCTGTATGTCAGAGTCCACGAATCACTTATAATTCGGAATTGAAGACTACCGATTTTAATTTTTATTGGCTTTTTGACTTTTTGACGCCATAATGTATATACATACATACATATATACAGCTTGAGCCACAGTCGAATAGAAATAGTCCTTCAGTTTTTAAGCCATTTTTTGGGTATAGCTTTGGCTTTAATGGCCTTGCAGATCAATCGTTTTTCATCATAGGATATATTCATCCGGCTCCGATTGTTTTGAGCTGATGGTTGTTTCTGTTGATACACAAATTGGCTATGTAACATGTGGATTCAATTTGCATTTTTTTTTCTGAATTGTTTATCAGGATGTAGTTTAGCTAAAAACGTATTTATTATATATTATTTTTTTACAATTTTCTTTAGTTACACATTTTGTATTTTCAATCTTTCTCCGTTAGCTTTTTGTAAGAGCTTGCGACACTTTTGAAGTCATTAACACGGCAGATCACATCGGGAATTTCGATCCCAATTTTTTCAATTGGCGGTTAAATTTCTCCAGACTTCTCCTAGCATAAATCCCCATATGCAGAAGTCCAATGACTTTAGAGACGGAAAGGATATGAGCCGATCATTCAGCGATCATTTTGCTTTTTCTTGCTTTTGATATGGCTAATATGGTTCTTATCTGAATACTTCTCAATTTCTTTCTTACGTGTTTACCATGTTGTTTGCATATAAATTGTAGTTTTGTGATCATACTCCGATTTTGGGTCACTGCCAGCTTCCGTTTCACTGAAGGGGCCCCCAGTGTGACATGAGAGTTTAATGTTTTAATTTAATTGTCGAACGGCCCACATTTAGCTCATTTGAAAAATTTTCTTCTCGAAACTGCGAAATTTATCTTTATTTGTTCTCTGATGACTTTACCATCCCAGAATTTTTTTCTTCTATTAAACAATGCTACCACTAAGTCAAATATTTTTTGGTAAATTAAAAATGACCATATTTTATTTTCTTGCAAAGCCGTTTGAACGAAGGCTAGTTTAGCTTTTACCGATTTCCCCGCTTAAATTCTTTTAATATTAAATGGTTTAAATATAAACTTTTTAAATATAAACTTTGCGAATTAAACCGTATGCACGTCTGAGAATTTTGGATTTTGTACAGGATCGATTTAAAAAGTGCGACAGCTATTAAGAGCCAGCCTGTATAAGAGAGAATATTAAATTTTTATCGTTCCTATCGTTGGATGAAGAAAATAATTTTTCTTCCAAAAATGACAAAACCATCTTTGATATGCATACTGGTATCCGTTTGGTTTTGCGATGGTTCGCATTTTATATTTTCATTGAACACAATGTCAACAATGGCATTTCATAAGTCTTATTTTTATACCCGTACTCGAAGAGTTAAGGGGTATATTGTATTTCTGGTAAAAGTTGATGCTTGTACCGCAGAGAGGATATATAGTTCAGCATCAATAGCCGAGTCGATATATCCATGTCTGTCTGTCCGTCACGATAAGCGCCTAGATCTCAGAGACTATAAGAGCTATAGCAACCAAATTTTGTTTCCACACTCATGGGGTATCTCACTGCTACAAGTGTTTTTTAAAATTTCGCCCCAAACCATTCCGCCCCCACAAAGGAGGAAAATCTGTGGCATCCACAATTTTGTAGATACGAGAAAATGAAAAACGCAGTATCGTAGAGAATTATCATTACAATATCTATTCAGTTGCTTACCCCGCCCCTCTCTACACTGCAGACGCTACTTAGACTCGACCTTTTGCGGAGAAGAAGTATATTCTACATATACAATGTAGAAATTACATTTTAGATTTAGATGACAGATGTAGTAAAAAATGTAAAAATATAAAATATTTTAAAATTTAAAAAAAAAATTAGCTCACATATTTATACTGACTGAGACTGAAGCGATTAACAGCGTTCCTTCTCGTTTTATATTAAATTAATTTCAACAATTGCCATATTTAGTTCAAATGAAATGAAGATAATTGAGGCAACTTTTGATGTATATTTATTACTCAAACAAAACAGAATCCGCAATTATAATAACAGGGGCTTCCCAAAACTAAAACTTTTGTGCTTGAGAAAGGCAGGAGTAAAACGAAGAAAATAACGAGAAAAATACCCGTACTCAGACAGTATATAAATTTGTGAGATAATGAGTTAGTGACCTAGCTAGCTAGTGAGATAATTTTAAAATATTTTACATTTTACATATTTTTGCTACATTATAAATGTAGATTACACATCTACAATTTAGATTCTACGTATACAATGTAGATTCTACATCTTCTCCGCGAAAGGTCGCACCCTGCACAGGGCAGAGTGTGTGTGAGCGAGAAAGAGAATAAGTAGCGTGGTCTCGTGCTTAATAAGGTGGGGGAAGCAGCTGAAAATTAATTTCGTTATTCTGGCTATAATAATGATCCGATCCATCCAGAAGGAAGTATCTTGAAGCATTGGCCTGCTCCGGCTTATGCAAATCTGTTTTGAAACGTTTGCTAATAAGCGATTTCCAAGATAAATTGCAAATAGCACATAAATAAAAAAGATTATATATATTAAATTATATCTTTTTTGTATAACTTTAAATATTTAATATATTCATTTCTCAAATTTGACTGTACCCAAAAAAGCCAAAAGGCTTTTACTCAGACGCGCACATATGAGAAATTTATGCTTGCTTTAACACAACATTTGAAATTTTAACAGATTTCTGTTTGTAATAAATATACTTTTCACATATCGTTTCCTATCGATATCGGAATAAACGCAATGAAGCGGAAAAGGCGGTCACATTGGCAGACGTGCGTCTTGAGAACAGCTGATTTGGGTGCTTGATGACAAGGAAAGTAACCAAATTTTGGGAAATTAACACAATCATGCAAGACGATAAGAAAATGGACAAAAGAGAATTGATTCTTATTATTATTTATTATTTTCAGACATTTCTTTATAGAGTTTGTTGGAGTTCTTCTTCTAACCATGAAAACCATATAAGTTCGTCTCAAGAAGTGTCTTAACGGCATCAGGGGGTTTTTAATTATTATTTTGATTAATTTAATGAACAATACCTTAAACGACGCATAATTAATGCGTCTATCTAAAACTATAAATGCATGCCAAGAATTATTTTTCTTTCGACTTTTTCCGAGTTTTTAAAGTCAAAATTTCGGAAAAAATACAGCAAAAAAATAATGAAGTTTGAATTTGAAAGCTTAATATCTTCCAGACGTTAGGCTGCAGATACAAAGTGTCTGGGACCGATTTATAGCTGCATTTGTCAGCTTTTCACTGCAAATAACTGTGCAACCAGATATAAGATACTTAAGTTATGTGAAAAATAGAAGCACTACCTCTAAAAAAAACCATGAAAAAAATTCCAGATTTTAAAAATTCTTTAAAACAAAATTAAACTACTAAAAAAAAATAAAGTGATAAAAAAATTTTTAAATCCCGAAATCTATCAGAAGTCATTTTGGTCCACAGCCTAAAGAAAAAGTTCAATTTTGTTGAGTAGTGTAATCAAACAAACATTAAATTTATAAGTTTTTAATTCAAATGAAAAAGAAGGGAGGTGGCGTGAAAAAATGGAGGGCCCCAGATTGATGGTTGCGCAGGGCCCGGTTGAGGGTTGATTCGGACCTGAATAACTCGAGTTTTTGGTTTTAAAGTTGTTTGTTTGTATAGTGTGTATTTACAGTGGGGACTCAGTCGAAAAGAGGTGGCAAAATTTTAAAATATGTTATGAACGCTTTGAATAAAATAAATGTACACATCTAGTAGAAAATTTTCCAGAGCTTTAGCGAATCTAAATTTAAAGATAATTTTAGTTTAGGAGATATGAGCAGAGATATGATATGAAAATGAAATGTACAAAAATGTATTGAACCCTTTTTCACTTTATAATTTATCAAGCTGCGCCCACTGTGCGCATCTGCTGAGCGGTCTAGAGCTCGCTCGGCTCGATTCTTATGAACAGACGAAGCTGTCGGTCAGAGACGAAGCATAGCCGAAAAGAGAATTGAAACCCCGCGCGCTCCCTCTGTCCATGGGGCGCTCCGGTAAGCCTCGCCATAGAACAGCTTTTTGTCGCTCATGCAGCATCTTGGTATTGTAGTCTTTGCTAGTACTCAGTTTCAAAAAAAATGTTCTGTCAAAAAGTGCCATATATTTGGCTAACGGCCGAGTGTAACCACTCACTGGGCTCATTCATCTGTAATTTGTTGACAAATTCGTTTGAAGTAAACAAAGTCAATGAAATGCACTTATCCAGCTGGTGTAGCTTTTCGCCAGGCATATCCTGAGCCTTTCTGTCCCGAAATAACGGATTTATCCAATATTGCGATGGCACAGCTTCAATACAAAATTTGAAATTTCGACAGATTCCGTTTGTAAACAAACACAAAACTATGAAACCGTAGAGAATGCACATGCACTCGTCGACAAAAAATTTAGTTGATTTAATTACTTAATTCTTCAAATTTTCGTTCCATGTAATGCGATTCATAAAACCATTACAGAGAAAAGTCCAACACGGCTGAAAAATTAAGAGTAAAAAACATTTTTTTAGTTTTTCCAATTAAGTTAAGCATAACATAATTAAATAGTTAAAGCTGTCCATAGCTGCGATTGTGAAAGCTTCAAAGATCAATTTCATGCCGTAGTCAGAGGTGTTAGTTTGTTTTTCACTAATCTTTTCACTACATTTTACATTTTTAAGATTATAATATATATAGCCAAATAATATAACAATATACAAATAATAAATGAAAAGGAGCAAGCATTAACGGAACAATTTTTAGTTTTCTTTAAGATAAGGAAACGTCACTTCACTGCGCTGGCTATCAAAAGTCCATGGAACTTTTCCTTTTTAACAAAGCTTCGTCGCCAATTTACATGCACAGATATTATGATATTTTCCCTGAGACATGACGTAGATCAACCGTTCTCTCTCTCTGTCTGACCAAAACTGCTTGCAACATGTTGCAGCGTGTACGCAAAGCGTGCAGCCTCACAGTCATTAATGCTGCACGTGCAGCCGCTATTTCGTTTACAAACATTTCGAAA